TTCAGACGTCATAATGGACACGTATCGGAGACTTGATTATGACTGGAAGAATGAGGCTCAACCAAAAAAGAGCCTTATACTCGTCTGGAGATGTTTGAAGATAGCCTGCCGCATGCTTATAATGGTTCCTATTGTACTCAAAATTCCTCTGGTAGGACAGAAGATGTTTGAAGCATTTAAATCCAGGAGCCGTAAAACGGGCCCTGAGGGAATGAAATTCATAATGTCGTACAAAACTCTACAAACTCTAACCAGAGTCCATGGAACAGAGATCTTCCGACGATCCGCCGTTGTCGGTAAAGTGGCACCAAACCTTAGTCTTGTTAACGTACAGACAGAGAAGATAATGAAACTACTAGATTTCCAGAAACAAGGTAGACCGTTGATTGTGAACTTTGGTAGTTGTACCTGACCCCCGTTCATGATGAAGTTCGCGTTGTTCAAGCAAATCATTGCTGATTTTTCGGACATTGCGGATTTCGTCGTTGTTTACGTTAGGGAAGCTCATCCTGTAGATGGATGGAGTATTCTAGGTACCAAATTCTCTCAACTCTCTTCTCACATTACTCAGGAAGAAAGACTGAAGGCAGCTCGGTTGCTGTTGGACGAAGGATTTCCGTGTCCACTTCTCATTGATATCATGGACAATTCTGGAGCTATTAAGTACGCGGCTGTTCCTGAAAGATTATATGTAATTTATGATGACGTCATTCAGTACGCAGGTCAAGGCGCAGGACCAGAGAACTACAAACCGGAAGCTGTCGTGCAATGGTTGACTGAATTTCGTCGTAATAAATATTAGATGTGTGGACAATCATAATACATGTTTTATATGATAACTTGAGTTGTACATTGTGATTTAAACATAGAATTAATGTTTAATTTTCATAATCAACCTAAAAAATCCTAATCCAATTCTGATCGTATAACATTTTTGGTACATGAAGATGATATTTGAAAGCTGAAATCAGAGCTTAATGTCATCTGAAGTATAAACCGGAAATACTGAGTATTAAAGGCTATGAAAGGGGATAATTTATTAAAATTTATGTATACATGTATTTCTTTTCTTTTTTGAGTCTCTAATAACTGTCACTTCATAACATTTTTTATTTTGATTTAAAGCGAGATTTCAATCCAAATTTGCAAGATTTCCAAAGAATTTGAAATGAAACACTATTTCTTGCGAACTTTTGAACATTTCGTTGTTCTATACCCTGCTCATAGTAGAAACATTTTGAAACATACAAACTCTTGTCGTTTTGCACATTAAGGAAGGACATTCTAAATAAACAAAAGGATTGTCTTTCAATTTATCGGTAATGAGTGAGAACACTATTTATCGGTAATGAGTGAGAACGCTATTTATCGGTAATGAGTCAGAACACTATTTATCGGTAATGAGTGAGAACACTATTTATCGGTAATGAGTGAGAACACTATTTATCGGTAATGAGTCAGAACACTATTTATCGGTAATGAGTGAGAACACTATTTATCGGTAATGAGTGAGAACACTATTTATCGGTAATGAGTGAGAACACTATTTATCGGTAATGAGTCAGAACACTATTTATCGGTAATGAGTCAGAACACTATTTATCGGTAATGAGTGAGAACACTATTTATCGGTAATGAGTCAGAACACTATTTATCGGTAATGAGTCAGAACACAATATATCGGTAGTAGTGAGAACACAATTTATCGGTAATGAGTGAGAACACAATTTATCGGTAATGAGTGAGAACACAATTTATCGGTAATGAGTGAGAACACAATTTATCGGTAATGAGTAAGAACACAATTTATCGGTAATGAGTGAGACACAATTTATCGGTAATGAGTGAGAACACTTTATCGGTAATGAGTGAGAACACTATTTATCGGTAATGAGTCAGAACACTATTTATCGGTAATGAGTCAGAACACTATTTATCGGTAATGAGTGAGAACACTATTTATCGGTAATGAGTCAGAACACTATTTATCGGTAATGAGTCAGAACACTATTTATCGGTAATGAGTCAGAACACTATTTATCGGTAATGAGTCAGAACACTATTTATCGGTAATGAGTCAGAACACTATTTATCGGTAATGAGTGAGAACACTATTTATCGGTAATGAGTGAGAACACAATATATCGGTAGTAGTGAGAACACAATTTATCGGTAATGAGTGAGAACACAATTTATCGGTAATGAGTGAGAACACAATTTATCGGTAATGAGTGAGAACACAATTTATCGGTAATGAGTGAGAACACAATTTATCGGTAATGAGTGAGACACAATTTATCGGTAATGAGTGAGAACACTTTATCGGTAATGAGTGAGAACACTATTTATCGGTAATGAGTGAGAACACAATTTATCGGTAATGAGTGAGAACACTTTATCGGTAATGAGTGAGAACACTATTTATCGGTAATGAGTCAGAACACTATTTATCGGTAATGAGTGAGAACACAATTTATCGGTAATGAGTGAGAACATTATTTATCGGTAATGAGTGAGAACACTTTATCGGTAATGAGTCAGAACACTATTTATCGGTAATGAGTGAGAACACTATTTATCGGTAATGAGTCAGAACACTATTTATCGGTAATGAGTGAGAACACTATTTATCGGTAATGAGTGAGAACACTATTTATCGGTAATGAGTGAGAACACTATTTATCGGTAATGAGTCAGAACACTATTTATCGGTAATGAGTGAGAACACTATTTATCGGTAATGAGTCAGAACACTATTTATCGGTAATGAGTGAGAACGCTATTTTCATGAAAAAAGGTGAAGATAACGAACAGGGATCGAACTCAAAAAATATCAACAATAAAAATCTGTGAATAAGGCAAAACAAAAAAAAAACAAAAAAAAAAAAAACACGGACCCCTGGAAGTTCCAGAGGTGGGATTTGGTGATTTGGAGTAAGCATCCCCTGCTGACAGCCACATCCGCCGCGAGCCCTATATATTGATCAAGTAAAGAAAGAATTTTGTTTCAGCGGATCTTCTGAGGTAAAAAAAAACCTTTTAAAATAAGACATTGTCGATAGTCCACAATTACCAACTTGTTTAAATTGTTAACAAATGCCGTAGAAATGACAGTTTTAAAAAGCCATTTTCTGTACTGGTGAATTCTTATACAGAAGCCGTGGAACGTATAGTCAAGGAATCTCTCCAAGCTTTCTACGATGAAAGTCTTTGATACCATAAAATGAAACAAAATAATAGTTTCTTTGTGTCATGGTTACCACGACAATATGCTCTAAAGTTTAAAAATGCAGAGAAGTGACAAGGACTGTTTCCAAAAAATTGAAGATTTGATGTCTGATATACATGATATAAATATTTGGAAACCAACTACTGGACGTATATTACATATGATACCATGGAAACAAAGTATTGAAAGTCTGATTGAACTGGCGGTTTAAAAAGCCTATGATTTGCAACATCCTTAATCACAGATCCAAGCCTATATTCTCGTGAAGAGGAATGCAAATATGAACTCTCCTTGACCTTTTCAATTAGACCAATTTAGAAGAATTTAGAAAATTTATAAAACGAGCCAAGCTACTGACAAAAAAGTTTATGAAACAGGAATATCAACAGTCTTGTTTAAAATCATCATTTTACTATATAAATAAAATATGGAGATAACGAACGAGCTCAGCGTCCATCTAGACAATAAAAATCGGGAGCAGAGCAAACAGGGACCTAAAAACCATCAGAGATCGGATCAGGTACCATGGAGAAGCTAGCATCCCCTGCCGACTGGTCACACCCGCCGTCTGCTCCTTGTTATGATCGGGGAAAACGGAAACATCCGTGGACAATTCAGTGTGTAAATAAAGGCTTAGCAATTAGTATGAAAAACGTCAGTCAGCATTTGAATTAATTATAGGTTGTATTTGCTGAGAAGGTCATTGTATCGACCATAAAACTTGCGAAATGATGACTTCAAACGAGACTGTTGATATTCTTGTTTCATCAACTTGTTTGTCAATAGCTTGCCTCGTTTTAGAAATTATTAGAAATCATTCATAAGTAGAGCATGCTTTTGCGTATCAAATCAACCGGGAGACATAAACTCCATATGCAGGTGATAAGGGTATATTACTATACATAAGTAAGGGAAGTTGACGATTGAAAAATTGAAGTCATCACGTTTATCGTAAATTTTTGTTGTTAGGTTACCATTGAAGTTTTTTTCGAGTAAAATATCCAAATATGAAATAGATGAGTCAAACTCTGAGGTATCTTTTATTTCAAACTCACTGGGATATATCGAGTCGACATATGAATGGAAGTAACTATTGTTAATTGATCATACCTCGTCGATATATCTACATGTAAATCTATCGAAATTCAAAACAGGAAATATTTCTGTAGAAATTCCACTGGATACATATTGGAGATTTGTATTAACGACAAGATTCTAATAGAGTACAAAATCAGGAGTTTTTTATTTCCCATGTTCATTGGAAATTTATTTGAAAGTGTGGGTACTTGGGGGGCAACAAATCTCCTGGATTATATTATGACATATGGTGATAAATTTAGAATTTTTAGAAAATTTAATACGCCTTCAACATTAATGAATATTTTCATTTATCATTAACAAAATCTATACAGCGGTGTCTTGCTACCGCCATGAATTAAAAACACAAAAAATACTTAAAAACATATGGGAACTTTTCTTCCAATAAAATAACTGATTTTTTAGTATATACAAAATATTCCTGATTGGAATTTTTTCCTGGTGCATTGCTTATATTGCCTGACTTATCATGCAAATTTCCCCATGGTTACTAATATAATTATAAGCATTTATATATATAAACTTTAGACAGCTGTATGTGTTTTAATCGCAAAATGTCATACAAAAGTATCTATAAAGCCTATAAAACAAAATACAATCAACGAATGTTAGACAAGCTTAAATGTATAAAACAAATTTTAATTGAACATTTGTTGTGTTCATCAATCAATCAATTATAAAACCGTAACTAGACTAAATTAATCAAAAAGAATTTTTCCATTACAGACTTATATATGGTATCTCAATATAATTGAAAATTCAACAATTCGTCCGAAATTTGCCAGATATATGTTCTAATATATTGAACGTATCTTTAAAATATATCTTTAAAATTATCATAGCTGGAACCTACAGCATTTTCTAATGAAGATGCCAAATTGGCCTTATCAGCACAACATAGTCTTATGATATTGGCTCATTCAACAGTTTATAGCACATATTACTAGTATTTCAGCTTAGCTTAAAACGTAGAATTAGTTATAAAAATGGGGGGGAGAGAGATACAAGCAGACTAATATTTACATTTTTTCAATTTTTTTAAAAAGGTGTCTTCAAAAACTGCACTACTCTTTGCAATTCAAAATGTAACAAATGATACAAAATACCAGTAGGTGATGTTCAAGTATATAGTATTAAACTATAATGAACACTTTATATGAATGCTACCATTATTTAAATATATTCTAATATATCATGAGCATCTACAAATTTAAATTAATTTTATAAACACAAGGCTTATACAATGTACATATGTTATGAAGCGATTTAAAATATGAAAATTTACAATGTAATGTATCACCTGATATTAAATCCATTCCGAACTGACTAGCATCATAATCATGTGCAATTTTATGTACTTGAAAAATAATACTGTAGTGGTACTTGTTTATCTGGTTAGCCTACAGGAAGTATGTGCCTGTCCTCACAGACAAGTATTATCAAATTCATTTGATAGATTTATTTCCTGACGTGTTTGTGTTTTATAAAAACCCCAAAAACAAATGTAATATCAAAAAATATATATTACTTGAATAAAAAAAATATCTTTGACTAAATCTGATATATAAAAGACATAGAATTTTCTTCATACAGTCGGCAAATTATTCCACATACAATCAGGCTTATAATATGTAGATGTGGCAACTTTTCTCTGATTAATTCTGTTTTAAAAGAACAATTTTGTTCATTCTGCAAACTTCCAATGAAATTCACAATAGGTTCCAGGTGATGACACCAATGACCACCAAACCTGCAATAAAGGATAAGATAAAATATAAAATTGGACTTATACATTATCACAGAACTCTTAAATTCTGTTCCATGAATGCATGATAAATGCTTCAACTGTTAGCAGCATTCCACATGGTTAATCACAGACAGACAGACAAAGTTGGGGACATTGAGAGACAACACGTACTTGACTGCAGACAAACCGCTCCAGATCTAGGGTTAGCGACCAGTTTTGGTGATGAGGTGGTAGTTGTTGTCGTTGATTTGGTGCATCTAACAATTTTAGGTGTGGGCTTAGTAAGCAGTGTTGTCATAGTAGTAACTTCTGGGAGATCTGCCGAGGGAAATAAATCATGGTAGAAGGTTCAGCAGAAATTTCATTGCATTAAAACTTTTTAATAAATACGTGTTTTTTAATTCAATTTAATTGGTTTGGTATCTTCTACCATGATGCTGACTCACAAACATGCATTGATTAGTAAACAGTATTACTTCATGCATCACCGACATGCGCAACATGGAGTTCTAGTTTGTTATAAATACCAGGCTGGGTTGTGGGTGAAGCAAAGGAGGAACTCATTAGTGACTCGCCTCGGACATTCGTGCTCATGTGGGTTGTTGGGATAGAACTTTTAGTGGTCAGAACTGAAAATTCAAAAATTACAAATATGAATCAACTTCCGGAATTGGGTAATGTGGAACATCAAGATGTTACGAATTTAGAATAAGAGAAAATAAGAGAAACTTACTTGTTGTTGGTATTTTGTCACAATCAAATTTATTACAATGACGGCTCTCGATGAGTGAACAATTGCTTATTAACTCCTCTGGACATATTGCACGTGCTCTATGTTGAATCCCGCCATTGCATGATTTGCTACAGCTTTGCCATTCTGACCAGACATCAGTTGGTTCAGCATTACTATCACCTTATTGAGTTTAATTTAATTTAAATCATATTTTGGGTAAATAAAACAAATACAGAAATATATTATAATAAAAACAGGTGATTTAATTTACATATTATGTACCGGTATTCTTTTAGTTACTGAAAAATAGCGATAAAACTGATGGTGATCAATTCAAAAATGTTAAGCAAATTTGATGTCACATTTTGAATGTCACTTTAAAAATATTCTCCTGTAACTTTACTTACTATTTAACAGTAACATCCATACCAGGACTATCCTCGTCAGAAGAATTTTGTACTCCATAACTAAACCTATAACTTTAACACTGACTAGATGAAGAGGAAACCACAAAAGAGGAAGTGATTCTACATTTGCGTCAAAGAATTTTAAGTTATCGTTTCCTTAATTTCTATTTTCATTAGTAAGGGTGTTAAATTGGTACTAATAATTGACTACGTGACATTTTTCTGATCAAAGTTTGGGTGTTATCTGTTCATCTGTAAATTTTCCCAGATTGATTTCTTGCTTGAAATACTATATACAAAATGCACAGATACATAGCTGCTGAATCTTTGGAGTGACCGGAAGTCATCCCGCAATTTTATTTGGTTTATTTGGGAAAGATTCCTTTCTATACCTTACTTTAAGGTCAGACGATACGTTCCTCAGATATCTGTTTTGTATAATTTCGTTAAAAACAAAAAATAGTTTTCATTATAATTACTTTGTGATTTCTAAACTGATTTCTAATAGTCTTAAAAATCAAAACGCTAATTTTTTACGTTGGCAATTTAAGTTATTCCCAAAAGGATTATATAGGCAACACCATCCTCTGGTATCTTGCACAAATGCCTGGTACCTCAATTTTTTGTGACTACACATGTTAAAGTAGCAATACTTCAATGATTAAATCTTAGAAAATTTTATATATCATTTAGAAATGTATCGTATGTCCTTAACGAAATGTGAAGATAGCGAATAGCAACTATGCTCAGAAGTCTAATTAAACATTTACAAATATTGAGCAGAGCAAACACGGATCTCTGGAAACTGAGGTGGGATCAGGTGCCATGGAGGAATAAGGGGCTTCTGTCGACCGTTCACACCGGCCGTGTACTCCTTGTCAACGAAAAAATCTATAGACAATTCAGTGTGAAAATAATGGCCTAACAATTTGTATGAAAGACGTCAACATTTGACCTAACGATAAACTATATTTGCAAACAAGAGACCCATGGACCACAACACTCATCTGAGTCACTATGACCTTGCTGTTTTACAATGGGAGATTTTGCCTCTCTATTCCTGTGTAACACTTTGATGACTATTGCGGTCGAACCCTATTCCCGGAGGGTTATGATTTGAATAACGCAGCACTGTTAAGGCTACATAAAGGAGGTAGGCCTAATTTTTACGGAAAATGTTTACTGTAACATCCCACAAAAATAGCAATTCCTCAAAATACCAGAAAAAGAAATAATTTGCAGTTTTAAACTTTATAAACTTTTAATTTATATTTATCATATTTGTAATAAACTACCTCAAAAGTTAAAATTGCATTCATTTCTGTCGCTAAATAATTCCCACACAGCAAGGTCACTGATCGCAATGCACTTGTCGACATGACGTCATCGTGGTAAAATGTGACGCATTTTATGTGCAATGAGAGCGGATCAAGTAATTTTTTCACAGTGAAAAATGCATTTCATTGTTAAACATAAAATTATATTTACAGATGTTAGATTAGACAATAATACCAGTGCAATTTTTTTATTATTAATTATTATCCATTTCTTATTATTAAGGAATGAATTTAATAGCTACCCAAGTTATACTGGTATAACCTGGGTTGGAGAAGTTAACGCTTTTTAAACCGCGAAGGGGTTTATAAAAAAGAGTAAACTGTTCCAACCCAGGTTATACCAGTATAACTTGGGTAGCTATTAAATTCATTCTTTGTAATTTAATTTTCCATCATTATGTGCAAAAAATAAGCAAATATCCTTCAAAAATGCCTTCAAATTGTACGTATTTTAAATGTAACGTCAAGCGGATTGATACGTTTTTGACGTAAGTCACTGTGACGTAGGAAACCCAGGTTTTCCAATTTATTCTAATTTTTTTATCCAATCAAATGATGCGGTGAGAAAATGATTTGAATTAATTCTACCGTGATTTTGTGTACCTTTACTTGGCAAATGTCACAAATATTCCACTTGAGCTCAATTACCTGAAAATTATAAAACTATTAATTTTTTTTAAAGCATAAGCACTTTTCAGAAACTACGGAGATATGGAGAAACAATTTATCACTTTTTATGCCCCCGGATCGAAAGATCCTGGGGGTATATTGTTTTTGTCCTGTCTGTCTGTTTGTCTGTTTCTCCGTTTGTCTGTTTGTCTGTCTGTCTGTTGTCAACTTTAACCTTGCCCATAACTTTTGATTGGTTGGAGCTATGACTTTCATATTTCACATGTATATTCCTTGTGACAAGACCTTTCTTTGGGTACCATCATATTTGACCTTTTGACCTTGACCTTGGAGTTTGACCCACATTTGCAAAATTTTATGAGACTTTAACCTTGGCCATAACTTCTGAACAGTTGGTGCTTGGGGTTTCAAACTTCACACGTGTATTCTTTGTGACAAGGCCTTCCTTTGGATACCAACAACTTTGACCTTTTGACCTTGACCTTGGAGTTTGACCTACTTTTGAAAAACTTAAACCTTGGCCATAACTTTTGAACAATTGGAGCTTGGGGTTTCAAACTTCACATGTGTATTCCTTGTGACAAGACCTTCCCCTGGATATCACCCACTTTGACCCTTTTACCTTGACCTAGGAGTTTGACCTACTTTTGAAAAACTTTAACCTTGGCTATAACTTTTGAATGGTTGGAGCTAGGGCTTTCATATTTCACATATGTAATCCTTGTGACAAGACCTTCCTTTGGATACCAACCACTTTGACCTTCTGACCTTGACCTAGGAGTTTGACTACTTTTGAAAAACTTTAACCTTGGCCATAACTTTTAAATGGTTGATGCTAGGGCTTTCATACTTCACATATGTAATCCTTGTGACAAGACCTTCCTTTGGATACCAACCACTTTGACCCTTTGACCTTGACCTAGGAGTTTGACCTACTTTTGAAAAACTTTAACCTTGGCCATAACTTTTGAATGGTTGGTGCTAGGGCTTTCATATTTCACATATGTAATCCTTGTGACATCACCTTCCTTTGGATACCAACCAGTTTGACCTTGACCTTGATGTTTTACTTACTTTTAAAAAACTTTAACCTTCGCCTTTAATTTTGAACAGTTGCAGCTAGGGCTTTCAAATTAAACATTTTTTATCTTTTGGCCTGGATTTTGACTTGCATTTGAGAAACTTTAACCTTCGCCATAAGCTGCCATACGGGGGCATCAGTGTTTCACAAACACATCTTGTTTAAAATCTGAATTCGGGTATGTCCTTGCGATATTATGACCTCTAGGCAGTACACATTATGGGCATTTATCAGTGACTGTCAAATCAGGTGACCAAACAAAATACAATACAGAGTGTGGTATATTATGTTAATTCAATTAACATTAGCCATGTGATAACACAATAGATTTATATATAAAAAAAATAATAAATTAAGTTTTAAAAGGTATTAAATTGTGCACGTCTTTATTCCGTTGATTTCTTCATAGTACGCCTTAAGTACAGCGAAACTTGATAATCTACATTACCTGAAGATGCATTAATATACTAATCATGCCTTCGCTCTTCTTCAGAACAAGATTTTTTGTTTTAAAAAAATCCTATATATTTGTATGCCAAAAAAATTGATTTTCTATTGTGGCCCCATACTGCCCCCAGGGATCATGATTTGAACAAAACTGAATCTACACTAAGCATGTTTCCATATCAGTATACCTAATTATGAATTTGCTGCTCTTGAAAAGAGGCCGTCACGGTAGCTCAGTCGGTAGAGCGCTCGCTTCGTAATCGGGAGGTCGTGTGTTCCAATCACGGCTGCGACTGACCTAAGTCGATAAAAAATAGGTAGCAACTGTTCCTTCGCCAAGCGAGTCCTTCGGATGAGACCTTAAAAACCGAGGCCCCGTGTCATGGTAGGCGTTGGCACGATGAAGAACCCTCACTGCTCAATGGCCCTGGGTGCCGAGTAAAGCCCTTCACTGGTATATATATGGTGACGTCTCTATATGAGTGAAAATTCTCGAACGGGACGTAAAACAACATACAATCAATCAATCTCTTGAGAAGAAAGTAAATTATTCTCCTATGTATCTCTATGTAAAACTTTAATCTTCCATTGTGCCGTCATCCTTTCCCCAAGGGTCTTGATTTTTACAAACTTGAATCTACACTACCAAGGGATGCTTCCATATCAATATTACTAATCATGGCTTTGCTGTCCTTGAGAAGATTTTTTAAAAGATGAAACCCTATGTATTTCTATGTAAAATTTTCATCGTTCATTGTGCCCCAATCCTACCTCTGTGGGCATGATTTGAAGAAGCTTGAATCTACACTACCTGAGGATGCTTTCATATTAATATGACTAATCATTCATTTGTTGATTTTATCCTATGTATTTTTATTTAAAACTTTTATCGTTATTGTGGCCCCACCTTAGCCCCCGGGGCCATAATATGAACAAACTTGAATCTACACCACATAATGAGGCTTTCACATGTATTTCAACTTTTCTAGTCCAGTGGTTCTTGAGAATATTTATTCCTATATCCTTGTGTCATCAACTTATTAGTCAGTAGCCTGTCTCGTTTTAATAATTGTTTGCGAAGAACATGCTCTTACGTATCGAATCTGTGTGGTGTCTTTTATTTCGAGTTCAATATGCAATTTGTCTATAAAATCAGAATGTTCAACAAAATAAGTTTGCAGATGACCAATGACAAGGTATGCAAATTTATATTCATTTTTATTGAAAAAGCTGTTGTCTATGATGTCAAAAAGCCTGGTCTTTAATTTATCGTATGGAATGGTTGTATAAAGTGTTGAAAAGTCGTGCGTTTAACTTTTGATGCCATTAATTTTGATAAAATTTTGTGATTTCAAATTTCCTATAAGTTCCTTGGGGTTTTTAAGTATCCACATCTGATTATCTGTACAAAAAATTACGCCCTGACCTAAGGTGAAAATCAATAGATTGAATCCGCCTTTCATCTTTAAAGAGATTAAGCAGACTATTAGACGGAGTCAGAGTGGAATCAGGGCGGAATATGGCCCGAAATATTTAAATGAGTTACAGGCGCGTAGCCAGAATGGAAATGAAGTGTACGCAGAGAACGGCACGGGGTCTGGGGACCGCTGTGAGGCCACCAGTGGGTCAAGGGCGAAGCCCCAGGCTGGTGGGGATCCAGGGGGCGAAGCCCCCGGAATCTCTTGGGTTTTACTAAGTATTTCAATCATTTTCATGGGAAAAATCATGCTATTTTGCTTTTCTCAATAAAATTAAAAGATGTGGTAATGTTGTTTTTAAATCCCAAAGTTAATACTTCCTTGGAGACTTATTGTACATGCAATTGAGGCTGAATATTTTATCAATACATGTACATAAATATATATTGGCATTGTCTACTCTTTTTAAACGCTCAGCAAAAAAAAAGTATAATAAACGTTATTTAACACAAAATGCTGTGTTTTAAATCATACAGTATTATATCAAAGCATTCTACGATGTGATTGAAATTTTATTTCTCAAAGATCTTTTTAAAAATTACCAGTGTGTTAAAGAACATTATAAATTAATAAATAAAATATCTGGATTTGAAAAATGATTTAAGAAAAAGATTTTAATATTATTGTATAAACTTTGAATCGGAACATTATTACACAAAATAATTTGAAACGCAAAATATTTGCTAGGTGATAGATTTCTTTCTTCGAAAACTCTCTCTCTCTCTTAAATTCTTTTTTTTTTTTTTTTTTTTTTTTTTTTTTTTTTTTTTGAAAATGATGTGTACGCATTTGCGTACTTGCGTATAGGCAGCTACGCGCCTGAGTTAAGACGTATTCCACCTTTTCTAAAACGCATTATTTGCAAGGCATATTCCGCCTTACCTGCAAGGCGTATTCCGCCTTACTTACAAGGCGTATTCTGCCTTACTTATTTAAAAGACCATTTCTCAAATATGTTGCTTTGTACAGTACTAACCTGAAGTTCTTCTTCACTGCTTTTAAGATAAAGAAAGAAACTTGGTAGAATATTTACTATAACCCACTATGTATCTTTGCAAATGCAAAATGATAGAAATCAGCCTATGTGATTTTTACCATTTTGCTTTTCCTCATAAAATTCACATGGCTTGGTATATTTTTTTAAAGTTTATATTACACTTTAAGCACCAAGCTAACATATTCTGAAATTTATTTTCATTTGTAAACCTTTACTGGGTGTGATTTGTCCATATTTATAATTTTATTGAAGTATCAACAATTGTTTTCCAAGTGTCATTTCTTTTATGCAAGAAAATACAACAGGTTATTGAGTAAATGTAATATCAGTACACTTTGTGCTCCATTAAAAACATTTTTGAAGAAATAAAGAAGGTAAATAAATGAAGATTAAACAATTTTACCATGATTACTCTAGTTGTGTACTTTTGGGGTGAAATATGGAAGTTTTTCATTCTCCAAGTCTAAGGAGAAAAAATTCAAAGAATTATCCACTTTTCTAAGACTGTGACATGATATTAAGTCTCCTCCAAAAAAAAAAAAATTGTTTGTATCATCTGTCCTTGATGACCTTGAACGAAATCAGAGCTCTTGTTACAATGAAGATATTTTTAATGTGTAGTTCCGTATTTGAACATACTGGACACAGAAAAAATATGTGCAGATTATCACTACATATATCACGTCACTTTTGTACGTTTTCAATTCATACTTTTTTAGTAAAGATGTTTTAAATAAGATTTTTTAGAGTCACAGTTGAGTTGTTTGAAAGTTATTTTTTTCCTCATAGAAAAAAAAAGTTTGACGTTCCATACAGCTAAAGTTTACCATTGTTTGGTGAATGATAATGTTCTCACAATGAAATTATGGTAACAATCTTTTGAAAATAATGCATGTGTGTTAAATGAATATCTTCATTAAATGACGATTCTAAATCTGCTATGAAAAAAAAAAACAATCTAAATTCGGAAATCTGCCTGAGCTTTGCAATGTATGGAAATCAAATAAAAGTAAGAAAAATGTAATTGACATTAGCTTTTATGATCTCAGCAACTTTGTCTCCAAAATCGAAATGGAGCGGATCCACACCCTCCCGCTGAATTGTACGCGATTGTATCAGACCCATTCAAATTGTAATTTTACTAGTAGTTAGAATAATCTAAATCACATCTCTTCATGCATTTTTCCTATCTATGGTTGCACTGACAGACTAACATCAATTATCCAAATTGAATCACAGGAAAAATCGGAAACAAGGTTTTGATTTAAAAGGATAGTAATTTATTTTTCATATTTTGAAAGTATTTTATTAAATATATTTATTTGATGAAAGCAATAATTATATTCCATTATCCTTGTATGCAGGCTTATCCGAAACCAAAATTATCAGGATTCACATTCTGGTCAGAACTGAACGAAAGTAAAATATTAAAATATATGAAAGAGTTACTTGGAGTTATACCCTGTTCTTTATTATTTTCCCCGAAAGAAAGTTTGGGAACATAATGTTCTTACTTCATTTCTTATTTCTTTACCTATATTTCCTATTTGAAAGGAAGGAAAACTTACATGTCGTATGTCACAATCAAATTTGTTACAGCAACGGTGGTCAATAAGTAAACAAGTTCAGGGGATGCTTACTCCTTCATGGCACCAGATCCCACCTCTGATGCTTTAAAAGGTCCATGTTTGCAATGCTCCCGATTTGTTTTGTCTCAATGGACCTTGAGCTTAATTACTGTTCGTTATCTCCATATTTCGTTACCTCGTTTGGGCAGAATTTGCGTGCTCTGAACTGAAACCCGCCATTGCAGGATATGAACGTTCTCCTGTATGAACGTTTCAAAAACGGAATATTGTTTTTAAAAACGGCGAACCGTCAAAATGTTACTTTAGAAAAGAATTTGACTTCTATATTCATTAATGGAGCAATAATTACAATGTATACAATTTATCAAGGTAAAGAAAAACCTATTCGTTTCGGAAAAGGAATATCGAAGTTGCAACTTTAAAAAGTTTTTTTTTTTTTAAATGAACATCAAGATATTCAAAATCAAAAATTTGGCTTAATTCTATTCTCAGATATTTTTTTCCAGTATCCTCGACAGTTGTACACACTTACTCTTCGTGTAACACTGACCTAGATTAAATGTCTACTGGTTGATTTCATGACAAACCCTGCAGTAAATGGCAATGTTTTAGACAATTATGACCTTTTTTGCTTTATTGTTACAATTTTATCAATATACAAAAAATTGCACATTTTTTCTGCCTGCTAGGGAACTTGATCTTGTTCCATATTATTTTTGATTAGCTTCATATCATAGCCTTTTCTCACAAAAATGTCTTTGTATCAAATAATTCAATTTATAATAAACATGTATGCATTAGCAAAATTAAACACACGTTCATACTGTAACATAAAACCATGATAATAATTATCTTTAGCCAAAAAAAAAAAGAGCAAAATTTTCCCTGGAAAATATTTTTTTCTTGGATAAGAAATGTGGACTCCATATTCAAAATTCATACATTCTTGTCTTATGCTAATCATCCAGATTTTGTGCAACTGTTCACCAAAAAAAAAAAAAAATCATAATAATAATAATAATTCAAAAACTGAGTTTAATTTAAAAGACATAGATTACTGGAATCATTTATTTATCTAATTCCATATTTTCAAAGATATATATTTCTTAAATGTAAAGATCGAACTGTCATATGTCCTTGTGTCCAGATGAATCTGCATCCAGAATTATAGGAATCACATCCCCAGAACTGATGTCTATTTGAAGAGATACACAAGTTCAGTGTACAAGTAAGTCTACTACGCCACAGGTTGACCTTTAGCCATGTTAATGTCTGTCTTTGTCACATTAACATCTAATTTCTCCAAGAATTCTTCTTGTTTCATGGCATGCATTGTATAGAGATCTAAAGAAAATGTTAAGGAAACAACTGATATCAATATTGTCCATGGCTATAAATACCAGTGAAGCAATAGCTGAGTATCGGACAAGTACTTTGTTAAGATAGTTCTCAATTGCAGGTAAGTATAGCATTTTCTAGAGCAGCATTCCTTTCAACTCTCAACACAAGTAAGTAGAAAACCTGTATTTGGCTTCTTTATGGAAATTTTCCCAAACTTTTTCGTAGACCTCTGGCTTTTCCTTTGACTTTAATAACACCACAGGAGTTCACGTAATATTATTATAGGTATTACGTATTTTTTTTATTTACTGATAATTTCGGTTAAATTGATAGGTATGCGAACTCCTGTGATAACACTTAGAACTCAAAAGTTATCAGCTACATGTCAATTTCGCATCACTTCCGTAATTTCTGCTTTCATATTGACATTTCCATATTTTGTAGCATTTTTCACGTTTGATAATGAATAGTCAAATTAAAGTGGAATGTATGGACAATAAAATAGCATGATAAGAGATGAAAATATCTACCTAAACAAGATACGATGACAAATTTTAGTGATATGAAATAGGTAAATGATGTTTTAGGCCTGATATCCAAGAGGGGTCCAATGTAAAAACCTGAAGTAAGTTACCTTCTCTATTTTTTTCTATACCACCGGTATGATATTAAAAATTAAATATTAAACAGTTTATTCTATGTTATTTTTTGGAGTTTCCATCTGGAATACATTGTAAATGTGTGCTAGCAGATTAATTTATGAAAGAAGACAAATAAAAATATCCTTGGATCCGTATATATGGGGGGGGGCTCTCCACAAGCACCTGTGATCACACCGTGTGTTTCATATTTTGTAACATGATTGTTTCAACTTGTTTGCTTTGTACAGATGATGTGCAGATGAATGAAACTGAAAATTTTGTTGATAACACTTAAGTTTCATTTGTTGATAATACTTGTTTCATTTTTTTCCTGATATATATGTAGTTACTCAAATTAGGAACACATCTGAAATCAGTCCAATCATTCAATACTAAGAAAAACAAATCAGCAGCAAATTCCACATGTTTCAGACTAAAAACACATTCGTAAATAAAATTCAACCCGAATTTACTCGATACACTATCATAAATAAATCTTGAAAAGGATACAGATTCCAAAAGCGAAAAGCGAAAACACTCCAGCTGATCTTCGATTAGACCATAAACTCTTTTTGTGTTTAGTAGCTCTGGTTGAATTTAAGCTGTCTAATTTGTTCACCAAATGTTTATGAAAACTGTTTGTCGCCTCCGACGATTTGTTAAATGCTGGCATCAACAAGCGATTGTATTCCTGATCAGACATATTTACAGCAGATGGGGAATTTCGAAAGTATGGTTCTGGTGGCAATCCATCTCCCTTACTTATTCCCAAACGGGAAGGGTTGTATCTCTTTGCCATTTCCTCACAAGACAAGACAGTCTCCAACTATTACGTCGGGTATGGAGGTCGTTGCATAATATTATTTATCGATTAGATTATAATGATGAAAATTTCAAACCCGATCAATCAGCTTGAACAATGATTCTGTAAATTCTCCTTGTACTAAATAATTATCTAAATAACTAATAAAATAAAAGAAGTACATATCTGTAATTTTTAATTGATGTACTAGGACTAATCATTAAAAAGTAATGTGGATTTTTTTTTCATAAGCGATAAATCTAGAGTCTCGACGTTTAAACGTTTCACTGACCAAATAAGGCGTCTGATTAACATCGATGTAAATATTATTGATTGAGTGCGACATGGAGACAAAGGAAAATAATGTGAAAATACTCTTCATATGTATCCTAACAAATTAAACAAGCTTATTATTGGAAGCTGGAGATACATTAGAGCGTGCAAGAGAAGTGTCTTTTCCGAGACATTGCTGTTTCAACAAAAAGCATACTGTTTCTTGACGTCTTTGATCAGCTGTTTTTGACAACAGACGCAGATAGAAAATTATTGTAAATGTGACGCAGAATATTGTATAGTTCTGTGCAGATTTTGAGTTTATGCATTAATGATGACAATGGGATGAAACAGATTTGATCAATCATCCCATCATTCATAATAGTAATGGGAAACTCAAACAGCAGTAGGTACAACCTAAGTTCAAGTAGACATGAACATTGGGAAAAGATATTAGATCATCCTAACTTTGGACTGATTCAGTCTGTCCCTTATAGCAAGTGGATCAAGTCTCAGAGGAACTATGGGGGATTTACAGACTATGCCGACTTCACGACTTGTCGAGAGTCAAGGCTCCGTCACGGCGTTCTGGTTAAGCCTGATAATACTGGAGGACGGTACCTCATTCCAAGCTTCAAGTCAAAGTTTGAACTCATTCTTGTGGAAAAACAAAGATGGTTTATGTCCAATTACAAATTGCCCCGTGTCCCTGTGCCTGATTTTGAGGATCCACAGTGGTTCCAGAGATCAAGTCATAACAGAAACAGAAGAGAGTGTAGTGTTATTGGTTACCATGACAACTTGGTAGTAGTGCAGATCAACACAAATCGTTATTATCTGTCTCCTAGGTTTTACCTTATAGATCTAGAAAGTAATGAAATAGTGGGACATTTTTTAATCTTTTATCACTGTAGGCGATGGTATGAGTGTTACATATCACCATGCAAGAAACAGATCCTCATGAGACCAGACAATTTAACTCGTATAGTGTCCTTGCCTGATAACTATATTCTGGAGAATGTGTGTCTGAAAAGTGCATTTAGTAACATGGAAGTTGGTGTCGTCCCACCGACCTTGCGAGCCCACGTCATGTGTTATAATAGTATAGCAGGGGACAACCTGGCCTTGATTGCTTTTCACAAAACCATAGAAATCAGGAGAACAGACACCTGGGAGACAGTCAGGAGTTATCAGAACCTGGATCTCCCCACAGGTATCCAGCAAATGAAGTCCAGTCCCCTGGGAGATTTTCTTGCTCTGAGATGTGTGTCCCCCGTCCACAGTAAAGAGTACAGTGTTAATGTAATAGCAGTCCTCGACTTTCACACTTTTAATGTTTTAATGAAGGTTAGTATTGCAAAGATGCCTTATAGCTTTTTCATTGGTGACTCACTTAACATTTCTGAATATAGTTTTCTATGCTTATTCAATATACACAGCTTAAGTGCATGTTACATGTAAGTGTTTTTCCATTTATCAAAATAATCTGCCAATATATCACGTACATAGTTTAAAGTATAGTATAAGTATAGTATAACATGTTATTAACAGTAAGAACAGTAAAAAGATTAATACTCATTATTATTTACAATGTACTTGTGCTACTATAACTGATGCTATTTTTTGTTTCAGGTGGATGTAAAGGGCTGTTATCGACCAGTGTCAGAAGTTGTCAACCTCCAGGTTTTCCCACACTTTAGTCCAAGCGAGGCTACAATAGCTGTGATGAGGAACTGTTCATACACTCGAAAAATTATGACTTACAAACTGCCAATCTGTCGCTTTAACCTACAATACCTCTGTCGCAGAGCCATTCTTCACCTGGTCAGCTACAGGGAGGTACATAAACTACCCCTCCCCAGCAACATTATCAACTTCCTACTTGCCAAACCAGGTCATACACGCACTGGTCTGTCCTGAGGAAAGTTTGAGTCTTAAGTGCTAGTAGTATTTATGTGGTATGTTAGATAAGCATGTATTAATTTATGTGTCAATAACACTTTTTGATTTATATTTCAGAGACACAAAATGTACAGTAATGTCCATTCATTCAAATTAAGAATCTTAATTTTTTCCATGCTTAGTTGGCTTAAAAACTTGCAAAAACACTACATGTACTGTAAACATGGATGTTTTCAAGGGTTAAAATTTTGGGCTTTCAATCAAACAAAGTGTTTACATGGGGTTATTTTGGGGGATTAAGTTAAAAAATTTACAAAGTGTGTTGGATTGTTGTTTTGGTACGGTACCTTAAATGGAACCATTGGCATGGTGATAAATTTTGAAACTTTACTAACCACAAAATTTCGCAGAAATTTCCCCCACACAAACATTTCCACATTAACAGCATTTTCTGGAGATAAAGATGCCAGCTTATAAGATTCATTACTGTAAACATGTAAACAAGTCAAACCAGTATTTATTTAGACATCGTTTCTTTTTAATTGATATTTATAGAGTATTATGTAGAACTATTCATTTTATAACTTTTTTATACATGTATAGTGCAATATTTAAGTGTAAATGCAATTTATACTGTGTGCTATATTGTACCATTTTTTTTTATCTTATTTATTTATGCAAACATTAATGATGAAGCCTATTCATTTTGTTTGTAAGCATTCTAATTTTCTAATACAACATCATTCATTTATTATAATTGCATTATACTTTACTTCTTGGCATTGAAAAACTGTGTTTTGTTTTGGGATTTTTGGCATGATTCATGCTTCAACTCTCTGTGTGCTTACTCGTGAACCCTGCCAAAATACGACTTTATTTATGTCGATATATATACATGTAAAGGTGCTAATTCATAATTGCCCCAACTACTCCACAATGTACATTATCTCTGAATTTTGAATGTGTGATTAGAACATGTACAGTATGTCCACCAGTGTTGGTAAAACAGCATTTGTAGCAACTTGTCTGCAAAGTCACATACAATATTCTCATCTCAAGTCAAGAAAGCTAGCTCTTTCAAAATAGAAGTACTAACCTGAGTATCTTATAAGAACATCATCTGTTGTTGTGTTTTATCAGTATAAGCTTAGCAATGATGGAAGAAATATAATATGTATGCTGATCAGCAGCTTCTGTGAAAACATCTAACCAACAGTCATGTCCTTAATTTTCCAAGAGACTCACATCTCTTGATGAATGACCAGCAACAAGTTATATAGATGTCACTTTTCAGTAATGAAGTCCAGCTTCAGATGCTACAATTGGGCATTATAACCTAAGTGTGTTATTATTACCATACGACTGTGTTGTACAGTACTTCATCCTGTACAGAAAAGATAAAACATATTGAACAGTACATTGAAAAAGAAATGTGTTAAAACAAATCCTCCTCCTGCTAGAGAGAGAGAGAGAGAGAGAGAGAGAGAGAGAGAGAGAGAGAGAGAGAGAGAGAATTTTTCAGGTAATTGTATCATGATGGTTTTTAATGAATGCTACACTGTAGTTGTGTACCAGTATATGTACAAAATGTGCAATTTTTTTCCTTGATAGGAATTTGTACTGTATACTTACCATTGTACTGTATACTTACCATTGTACTGTATACTTACCATTGTACTGTATACTGTATACTTACCATTGTACTGTATACTTACCATTGTACTGTATACTTACCAGCAATTTTCTATGTTGTCATCCAATTTGTGTTCATTTTATGGGATGTAAATTTTTCCCCCCGAAAACATGGATTTTATGCCCCATTGGAGTAATAGTATTGAGGACATAGATTAATCTATTTGTCTTTCGGTTTATGAAGAGTTGTACATTCACAAAAAGTTCATTTGCAGGGGACATATTCCTTATACACTTTCCTAAATACCTGAGGGTCTTTAATTCAACAGAAATATATTTTTATTCATATGTGATTTAGGCTGGCTATAAACATTTTGGCTTTAATTTATAAATTATCTTTATTTTATGTTTTATGAAACCTTCCATCAGAATTAGGAACATCACATCCTTATACCACTAATATGATATGTTTTATTTATTAATTGTTTTAAATTACTTATGAAAATTGCTTTTAAGGTCACCTAAGCTGAAAGCTCAAGCTTTTCTGATCAAAAAGTGTCCAGTATCCGTCTATCAAATCATGTGTTGTCTGTAATTTTTTCAAATTTTCGACTTCTCCTCAAGAACCACTGGTCCAATTTTAACCAAACTTGCCATGAAATATTCCTAATTGCATGGGTGAAGGGAATTCAGGTTTGTTCAACTGAAGAGCAATGCCCTCTTTTAAGGGGAGATGATTATAAGATTTTGTGAAAATTTGATGGCATCTTTAGAAGCAATCTTCTTCTCAAAAACTACTAGGTCAGAAAAATGAAATTTCATTCTAATGTAATTGTTTTGTAAAATGCACTTTACATGGCCAATGCTCTGATGTTGGAGGAAATTAAAAGATCATTAACGAGTGAAAGCTTTTGATTGTGACATCATAGTAGAATTACGCAAGAACACAATGCTTTGTGACTAATTTCATGAAGCAAAACACAAGGAAATAAGATGTAAACAACAAAAAATATGCATAAACTGCATTGGAATGGGAATAACTGATGCCTCATTAGTTATTTGTAACAGTTAATGAGTTTTACTGGAGATGCATAAGCATGCAGAGCCAGTAAAACTGATGTTTGTGACAGTTAAATCAGCATTAAAGGTCACAAATAACAATTGAGAAGACAGTTAATCCTTAAGTGAAAGCTTCATTACATAGTGTAGATTCAAGTTTATTCAAGTCATGATCCCTGGGGTAGGGTGGGGCCACAGTGGAAGAATAAAGTTTACATAGGAATGTTTAGGGAAATTTTACATAGGAATGTATAATGAAAATGTTTAAAAATATTCTTAAAAACAGCAAAGACATGATTAGTCATTTTTATATGGATGCATCCTTAGATGAGTGTAGATACTGGTATATGGAAGCCTCCTAAGATAGTGTAGAATCAGTTTTGTTCAAATCATGACCCATAGGGGTAGGGTGGTGCAACAATATATGATCAAAGTTTTACATGGTTATACATGTTTATATGGAGAGAAAAAAAAATCTGCTGATGAAGAATAGCAGGACCATTGTGACTCGGGTGAGCATTGTGGCTTATGGGCCTCTTATTATAATATATAAATTCCTTATACATACAGTAACTTGTATGGTGCAGGACTGAATATAATACTCAATTTATTAACATGCAGATAATCAAATTGATGTTTGTTATGCATTATATTGCTCTGTTGTTGAATGTTACAATGTGTATGAAAGTTCGGCTGAATAAAAATACACTGTGTATCAACTTCATTTGACTATCTCAACACAATAACTGAATACATACTTTTTTTCAGCATGGTATAAATTTACCTTTTGTATGCGGTCACAAATTTTCCACAGAAAAAATTGTCACAGAATACTGAAAGTACATTGAAGTCCAAAAAATGGCATTCCAAGAAATCTTTGTAATTTCCTACCTGTGGATTCAACAGAAATTGTGATTCCACAGAATATTATGACCTTGCTTGAAAAAGTATGTTTACACTGTTAGTATCTAATTGACAAGTTTTTAGCTCATAAAAGTTTTAGGTGAAGTGAGCTTTTCTGATCGAAGGGGGTCGGGCGCTCATCTGTTGTGTGTCATCTGTAATCTTTTTACATTTTCAATTTCTTCTTAAGAATCATTTGGCTAATTTCAACCAAACTAATGCAAAAAAACAAAACAAAACAAAACATCCTTGGGTTATGGGAATTTAAGTTTGTTCAAAAGAGGGGCCACACCCTCTTTCAAGGGGAGATAATAAAGAATTAGTGAAAATTTAATGCCATCTTTTAAAAATCTCCTTCCCAATAAGCATTGGGACAGAAAAGATGAAAACTTATTTGAATAAGCTTCATTACATACATGTAGTGTAGATTCAAGTTTGTTCAAATCATGACACCTCCCCCCCACCACCCCCCAGAGGAGGGGGGCTTGGGAACACCATTAAGCAATCAAAGATGGGAATATATAGAAAAAAATCTTTAAAAATTTTCTTCTCAAGAACAGCAAAGCTATATTTGGTAGCATCCACAGGAAGTGTTGATTCAGTTTCGTTCAGATCATAACCCCCTTGGATGGTGTAGGGCCATAATGGGCAATCAAAGTTTTACATAGGAAAAATGTTTAAAAATTGTTCTTCTCAAGAACAGCAAAGCCGCAATAAGTCATATTTATGTGGAAGCATCCTCAGGAAGTGTAGATCAGATTTGTTCAAATCATGACCTCCAAGGCTATGGTGAGGCCAAAATGGGCCATCAAAATTTTTCAAAGGATGAATCTTTATAAAATCTTCTCAAGAACAGCAAAGCCAGGATTAGTCATACATGTATTTATATGGAAGCATCCCCGGGTGTATATTCAAGTTTGATGAAATCAGTGACCCCATGAACTTGCAAAAATTCTGTTTCATACAGTGATACTTGTCCATCTTATTTTTATTTTTAATATGGAATGAATGATCCTAAATTTAGACCATCTCTAACAAGAGTTTATGCTCACCTGAGCGGAAAGCTCAAGTGAGCTTTTCTGATCAAATGTGTCTGGCAAAGTCCTTCTATCTGCCGTTGTTGTCTGTAAATTTTTCACATTTACAACTTCTTCAACAGAACCACAAGGGAAATTTCAACCAAACTTGCCAAAAAGCATCCTTGGGTTAGGGTGGTTCAAATTCAAATGAAGAGAAATGCTTTTAGTTCTTCTGAAGGGAGAAAATTAAGAATTCATTTAAATTTGGTTTCAAATTTTGAAAAACTTCATTTTAAGAATGACTGGGCCAGAAAATGTGAAACTAATAGGAAAACAAATATCTCTACATTCTGTAGATTCAAGTTTATTCAAATAATGAACAAATGCCCCTGGGATGGGGGGGGGGGTAAAAACCTTCTCAAGAAAAGCAGGATCATGGTTAGTCATATTGATATGCAAGCATCCTCAATTGGCAAAGATACAAGTTTGTTTGAATCATGACCCCCTGGGGTAGGATGGGGCAACAATAGGTGATGAAAGTTTTACATTGGAATATATAGTATAAAATCTTTAAATATCTTCTTCTAATAAAAAATTTTACATATGAATATAAAGGGGGAAAAAATTAAAACCTTCAAGAACAGCAGGGCCATGAAAAGTGATATTAATGTGGAAATATCCTCCGGTAGGTTCAGGCCCTTGAGTAGAGTGGGGCAACAATAGGTGATCAAAGTTTTACATTTGAATATATAGTATAAAATCATTAAAAAACTTTTTCTCAAGAATAGCAGGGTACGAAAGCCCATTGAGCTCATTTTCGTAGGTAAAAAAAAATCTATTTTTCGCGTTATAACGCGAAACTTTCGCGTTATAACGCGAAATTTTCGCGTTATAACGCGTAACTTTTGCGTTATAACGTGAAACTTTCGCGAATAAACGCGTAACTTTCGCGTTATAACGCGAAACTTTCGCGAATAAACGCTTAACTTTCGCAAATAAACGCGAAACTTTCGCGTTATAACGCAAAATTATACATATATAGTCATGTTACTCAGGAACCTGTGATCTTGACTGACAGATAAAAAACATGAACGCAGAGGGGGACTTCTATGAATTTATAAATGACATTTCTTCAGAAGATGTATAAGAGAACTGATGCGAGAAATGGATAGATTATAGTGTTGATTTTGCATTTAATCTCAAAACCCTACTAATGAATTAAATGAATATTCTTGTTTTTCACTTGTTGAATCCAAGAAATTCTGTAGACTATTTTTTTTCTCAGGAAGATCTCCACTCGTTGCTTTCTTTGAATAAATTGTCGATGTTTTCGTAAGTAATGGTATGACCAAGTGGTGCAACCTTAAAATACAATGTTGTATTTCTACAGTGAGTCTATCGGAGATGAAATATTTGATACAAATATTTGTCATCCAATTTTCACATGAGGTTACTCATGTGATGTGACACAATTGTTCCGTGAAATATACAAATTTACCTCATTGTTGTCAATTTTCTGAGATCTTTTATTTCAAATTCTATAGAGAGTGTTCAATCGAATTAAAATTAGACAGTTTTGTAGTTTGTATTTTCGCTCCTCTACTATACGCTTCAACACTTGTATTGAACAGCATTGAGAAAGACAAAATGTGACGGCAAAAAAGATTTAGAAAGAGGAGAGACACATTCAATGGCGAGAAAACATAAAATGTCAGCTCGTGATAATCCAAGTTCAAAATAGTCTTTCGTTTTTCACTGTAATGAATAAACAAGATCATTAAAAAGTAAAACAAACTGTAGACTTATGCAAATGTCTCTGTTTTACAGGGAAAGTTTCGCATTATAACACGAAAGTTTCGCGTTTATTCGCGAAAGTTTCGCGTTATAACGCGAAAAATATATCTTTTTTTTACCTACGAAAATGAGCTCAATGGGCTTTCGTAGCAGGGCAATGATTAGGGATATAAAAATGCAACCATGCTCAGGTAGTGCAGATTCATGTTCGTTCAAAATCTTGGCCCTGGGAGTAAAGTTGGACCACAATAGGGGGTCAAACTTTTACATAGAACTATATAGAAAAAAATCTTCGTCCCAAAAACAAGTAGGCCATCAAATAAGTCATGATTTTAATATGAAAATACTCAGGTAGTGCAGGTTCAAGTTTGTTCAAATAACCCCCCTTGGGAATAGGGTGGGGCCACAATAGGTGATCAAAAGTTTACTTAGGAATAAGGTGTAGGAAAAAAAATCTTTGAAAGATTTTCTTAAGAAAATCAAAGCCATGATTATTCAAATTAATTTGGAAACAGTTTGTTCAAAATATTGCCCCCAGGGGTAGTATTGGGCCACATAGAAGATAAAAGTTTTACATGGTAAAACATAGGAAAAAATTTTAAAATCTCCGCTGAAAAAAAACCCAACAACACTGGTCCATGATTAGTCAGAATATTCATTTGGTAGCATCTTCATGAATGTACATTCAAGTTTGATCAAATCAAGGCTTCGGGGTAGGGGTAGAGGGACCACATTAGATATTTTTTTTAATAGGAAAAATGTCTTAAATTCTTCCTCTAAAGAACAGCAAAGCCATTATTAGTCATATTGCATCTTCAGGTAGTTTGTTCAGAACAGGGCCCATTGGGAATAGGTTATGGCTACAATATGGAAGCAGACGCTTAAGAGGGAGCATATGGGAAGAAATCTTTTGAAAACTATATAGAAAGAACACACTAAATCATATTAAGAGGCAAAACGCACCTAATTTGTATGGAATGATAATTTTTAAAACTTACTAGTATTAGTATTAGCTAGGTTGTGCCAATTTTTTAAATTAAATTATCGAGGAATTTTTTTAATCTGCCGAAGAAAAAATGCAGGGTCAAAATGACTCAGGTAAGCGCTGTAGCCCATGGGCCTCTTTTTAAAAAAAAAAAAATAGTCGTTTTATTTGTTCCCAAGTTGCTAAAGCCAGTTCTATACACACATGTTAAAGGGTGATATGTTGGTAACAGATTCTGCAAAAACATTACTATTTTACTATTCTTATAATACATATGTATTTCATTTAAATCTTAACAAGGAATCGTATTTACACCCTAACTAAAGATTACAAAGAAATTAATTTTATTTAAAATTGTTTAATTCCAAGCAAAGTAAAAGACAAGAAGTTCTAATATCTACAGTCGACTAGAATTTATTTCGTTTTTCCTGGAAACTTCAAAATCAAGCAATTCCAGTAAAGCACGTTTAAATGGAGAAGATTTATATTAAGCAATGCCATTCTTAAGTCAATGTGATAATACTGTATTCACTTGTTGATGGAAATATTCAGTAATAGATAAGCATCAATCTCTTCAGGTGTGTACAAAGAGTAATGTTAGAAAAGTCTATGAGTATTCAGCAGAATTTACCCTGGATCGATCTATAGAAGTAGAAAAAAACAACAAAAATATATACATGTTAAAAAAAAATAGTGTCCGAGTAACATCAGAAATGTCAATTTTAAAGTCAGCTGCAGGGGATTTGTGCCATTAATGAAACGCAATTATGTCAACTTTAAGTTGGTTCTAGAAGAAGGGACGGATCTCATCTCACTTTTTTCTTTACCCAGCTCATCATACTGGTACGGCGGATCCTGGTATCTGTAGGCGTACCTAGCCAAGAGTGATAACAAAAATGTCTCCAGCACTAACAGTCCATAGTGATACCCTGAAAAAAAAAACAGTAATGTTTCCAATAAATATTAACCGTTTGTAGTGATGACCTGAAATAACAGCAGTTGTGTTTCCAGTAGACATCAGGACTCAGTTACTTGAAATTAAATGCGTATTATGTTCCTCGTGATCACAGTTAAAATTTTCGTGTGATAGTCTAATCAAATAACAATACTCACTGTCAGAAGTCCACAGGATAGCGAGGAATAACAGTGACAGCCTGATCAAATAACAATAGTCACCGTCAGAAGTCCACAGGATAGCCAGGAATAACAGTGATAGTCTGATCAAATAACAAGAGTCACTGTCAGAAGTCCACAGGATAGCCAGGAATAACAGTGATAGTCTGATCAAATAACAAGAGTCACTGTCAGAAGTCCACAGGATAGCCAGGAATAACAGTGATAGTCTGATCAAATAACAATAGCCACCGTCAGAAGTCCACAGAATAGCCAGGAATAACAGTGATAGTCTGATCAAATAACAATAGCTACTCTCATAAGTCCACAGAATAGCCAGGAATAACAGTAATAGTCTGATCAAATATAATAGCCACCGTCAGAAGTCACCAGAATAGCCAGGAATAACAGTGATAGTATGATAAAAAAACAATAGTCACTGTCAGAAGTCTACAGAATAGCCAGGAATAACAATGATAGTCTGATCAAATAACAATAGACACTGTCAGAAGTCCACAGGATAGCCAGGAATAACAGTGATAGTCTGATCAAATAACAATAGCCACCGTCAGAAGTTCACAGGATAGCCAGGAATAACAGTGATAGTCTGATCAAATAACAATAGTCACCGTCAGAAGTCCACAGGATAGCCAGGAATAACAGTGATAGTATGATCAAATAACAATGGTCACCGTCAGAAGTCCACAGGATAGCCAGGAATAACAGTGATAGTCTGATCAAATAACAATAGCCACCGTCAGAAGTCCACAGAATAGCCAGGAATAACAGTGATAGTCTGATCAAATAACAATAGTCACTGTCAATTTTCGGTCAAAAGTGGTGACTCAGCTGAAATAATATTACAGTCAAGTTGAGTCAACAGTCTGTATATAGCCAGGAATAATAATCGTCAAAATAACTTTGTATAAGTTGATTTTAAAAATAAACATCAATAGTCTGTAGTGATGATAGGATTTAGAAATCGATATTCCTTAAGGAGACTATGTGTCAAGATCAACTCTAAGCATAGATAAATTATTTATATTTTTTAAAAACAATTATTATGAAAAACTTTTTCTCTTAAGACATAAAAATACTGTGTTCTACATCTAGAATATCATTTTATTGTAATACCATCTTCCGTTATAAAATTGTCATAATCGGGAAAAAAAATCATTTTACTGAGCAGAGAGTTATCCCCCCTTATATTGTTAACGCTCAATTTTTATATACATGTTGTTATGAAAAACCACAATCATAATATACATACGATAAGCTTGGACCATAGGACCACGTGTCTTCACACAATCAAAAACGTCACGAGAAGCCAGGAAAGTAAGTAGAGCCCTTTGAGCGTCCGAGAAAACCATAGCGAGCTGCACCGAGAGAAACTTTAGGCGGATCCTACATTCCTTCAGCTTCGGTTCTACGAATCGTGTCAGCGCAATTGCTCCCCACATTGAAAGCAATAAACTTATAATGTTGATGAATTGAAAGTAGGTGCCAGGGTTGGAGGTACTCATCTACAAAGTAACAATGGTACAAGTGAGTTCTCGTTTACTCTATGTGCCGTTTGTCCTGCTTGCCCTTTTCCCTTCAATTCAACTGTACTTTCTTTCTGTTTTTCATCTTCCGTCTTATGAGCATTTCTTATCAACTGTGACCAGGTACATAAACTGAGAGAAAGGGGAGACTTACCACATCTGTCAGTTTAAACTTGTTGTCTATCCACAGTAGGACTAGGATCAGCATTGTGAGAGGGCGGACGACAACCATCTGTACACAGAGTAGTTTGATCGTCCTCAGGATACCACTACAGTGTAAAAAGTATCAATACAGCTACTCATACGTGACATACCGTGATACAGATATTGAAATTTTTAAGTTTATAAAACTTCTACAACAAAATAAACCTTCAGACTCTTCAAAAAACAATACATGTACGCACAAATAGAAAGGATAAAAACCTGCTTATTTTCGAGCCATTCATACAAACACAACAGCAGCAACATGGTGGAGTTCGGAAAGTCATGGCTTCATCTGACATGTCAGTCACTAATTTATCCTCGTCCCCAAAATATCCCATCAAAATCCTTATGTACACCAGAATACTGATGGCCCGCAACCTAAAATAAACCCAGGAAATTAAAAATCTTAAACTAGAGGTCTATGGGCCACAAAGCTCACTTGAGTCACCTTGGCCCTGCTCTTCAGAACAGAGATACTAAGGTGACAAAGGGATGAAAATCATTGAATCCCCCTGAACGGGACTCTAGTACATTGCAGGTTGACTTCCAGTGTAAGCTGGTGTCTGTTCAGTGGACTGAGGCACAACACAGAACATCAATATTGTTCACACTGGGATTTAAACCAGCGATCGTTCAGTTACAAGCCAAACACCTATGACCACTGAGCCATGTTGAAGTTGATCAATGACAAAGTAGCTTTTTTATGAATAAGATGAGTTAATTAATAATTATAGATCATAAACACTCACGTGGAGGTGATGAGTTCCATTAAGAGGGTTGACCTCGGAACAAGGAGACCCAGTACACAGCATAAAGAGAGGATCTGAAAGAATAATCTGAATACACTGTAAAAAATGTGTTTACAATTCAAACACTTTTCTAAACACTTTCTTGTCACCTCCTTTTTTATATGTTTAATTTCTAAACATGTAAAATTCCTAAACATGTCTTAGAAAGTGTTTAGAATTTAAACACTTGTGTGCTTAGAAATTAAACACATGTAAACACATAAACACATGTGTTTAATTTCTAAACACATAACAGCAGATGTGTTTAAAATCTAAACACATCATAAGTTTAAATTGGACCTGCAGAAAAACAA